TTCATCCTCCGGAAATTCTGTTTCTTTGATACTCATGTTGTGGCCCCACCCCATACAAAGAAACAGAATTTCCAGAGGATGAGGCCCAGAAATCAGGATTTTAAAAAGATTCCCAGGTGACTCTAATGTGCAGCCAAGGTCGAGAACCGCTGCTTTAAGCACTTGTTAAAAGGGAGCGGCCATTATTATCACCAGATGGAAGAGTCAGCAAAAATGATTCACGGCCGTGCAACACAAGTGTGCAGCCTCGACGCCCACAGCACGCGGGGCCCCGCAAGGCAGCGTGCCTAGAGTGCTCACAACCCCCTTGAGCAGGATCTCGCACCCACAATCATCTCACACCCTTTCACGGTGTCGGGTCGCACGGCGCGGTGCTCAGGGACGGGGAGAAAGTGCTGGGCTGGCTGTTGTCCTCCCAAAACCCATGGAAGGAAGCCCTACCCCCAGTGTGGTTGTATCTGGAGATGGAGCTTTCAGGAGGTAGTTAAGGTTAAATGGGGTCATAAAGATGGGGTCTGAATCTGATAGGACCGGCGGACTTGCAAGAACGAGAGAATGAGGTCTCTTTCCCCAAGTTCAAGGTCAGTGTGAGGCCACGTGAGGACAGTCAGAAGGCGGCCGTCTGCAAGCCAGGAAGAGAGCCCTCCCCAGGAACGGAATGCCGGCACCTGGATCTCGGACTTCCCAGACCCCAGAGCAGCAGGAGAGATGACACTTTTTCCTTTCCCTCAACCAGAAAATTGAAGACGTGCCTCCGAAACAGAGTACCTCCTTTCTCCACTAGCCCTGCCCTGGTCCTGGGAAATGGCCACGTGTGCACACAACTTATAATGGTTCTATCTGGCTTTGAAACATACAAATAGATCAAATCCCGTGGGTGTGGTTTTTTTTTTTTAATATTTTGATATTGATTTCAGAGAGGAAGGCAGAGAGAGACAGAAACATCAATGGTGAGAGAGAATCGTTGATTGGCTGCCTCTTGTACACCCCACACTGGGGACCGAGCCCACAACCCAGGCTTGTGCCCTGACCAAGAATTGAACCGTGACCTCCCGGTTCATAGGTGGACACTCAACCGCTGAGCCATGCTGGCTGGGTTGAAATCCTGTTTTTTAGGTAAAGCAACTTTCACACAGGAAAGCCGAAGTCTGCACACCGGCTGGAGACTGTGTTTGGTGCCTGAGTCCAGCCTGAAGGCAGGGCTGTGCCAGGAGGTGGCTTCGGTGAGCTGGCGGGCAACCTGCTGGAGAGGAGAGGTTTTGTTTTCTCCTGACGTTTCTCTGCAAACGATTCATTTGTCTACAGACAGATGGGGGCATCGTTACTGGAACTGCAGTTCCCCCAGGGGTACGGTCCGTGTCCCGAGAGAGACACATTTGCAGGCAGAGGGAGAGTGAATCCTGAAACGTTCTAGTCATTTCTGCGGAAGCCGGTCGGACGGCCAGGGCTCTCCCTCCTCGCCAGCTGTGCTCTGAGCCAAGCGGCGCACACCCCTCTGGACCATCAGGGTGGTCGCACGGGCCAGAGGCAGAGGCGCTGGGCTGCGAGTCAGGAGATTCAGGGTCCAGCCCGGGAGCTCAGGGCTACCCACCGAGGGCCCATCACACGTTGTGGTCGGGTAGGAAGGAGCAGAGCCTAGAGCCAGACGGACTACCAGGTCCGGTCCCGACTCCCCTCCCCCAAGGCCACGGGACCTGGGCCAGGGGTCAGTCCTCCCCGGCCTGCGTTTCCCGGGTGGGTGGGACGGCCGAGGACAGAGCCCACACGCCATCACATGTCCCAGGTGTGTTCGCAGCCACCATTCCTGTACCTGGACCAGGGGCTATCTCAGGCGGCAGCACTGACGACCCCTTCTGATACTTCAGTGTGAAATAAAGATGCAGAGCACGTGGTATAAAATGATCGCCCAGGCCCTGGCCAGTGTGGCTCAGTGGATAGAGCGTTGGCTTCGGACTGAAGAGCCCCAGGTTCAATTCCAGTCAGGCACATGCCTGGGTTGCGGAGTCGATCCCCAGTAGGGGGCGTGTGGCTGATCAATGATTCTCTCTCATCATTGATGTTTCTCTCTCTCCCTCCCTCTCCCTTCCTTTCTGAAATCAATAAAGAAATATATATATTTAAAAAAAAATGATTGCCCAGGGCCCGGCTGGCGAGGCTCTGTGGTTGAGTGTCAACCTATGAACCAGGAGGTCACAGCTACATTCCGGTCAGGGCACATGCCCAGATTGCGGGCTTGATCCCCAGTTGGGGGGCGTGCAGGAGGCAGCCGATCCATGATTCTCTCATCACTGATGTTTCTATCTCCCTCCCCCTCTCCCTTCCTCTCTGAAATCAATAAATATATATATTAAGAATAAACATAAATAAATAACTTGATCGCCCAGGGACTTTTTCCCTATTAATAAGGGAAAGTTTCTTTTTCTTCAACTTCTTTCCCCCCCACCCCCCACCCCCGCACACTAGGCAGAGTTCTTCCCGCCCCGACCACAGACAGCCCCGTCATGCCCGTGGGCTAGAGAGATCACGTGATCGCGCCAGTCACTTCCTCTCTGGGATGCCCTGTGGCCAGATCTGCGTGCCCGCAGCGTGGAAACCGAAACAATGCTCGGAATCAGGGCCCACCGGCTTTCTCCGTGCAGGATGCTCTCTTCGGACTGTTTCTATTGCATCAGTAAACTCAGCCGCAGGATCGTCAGATGCGAACGAGGAGGGGAAGACGTTCTGAAGAGAGAGAAGGACGTTCAGAATGGCCTGTCAGCAGGGGAGGGTGCCTGGATCAGTGACATGGATCAGCTCGCCGGGCAGCTCTGAGGCCCCTGGTGAGGGAGACCAGCCAGCAGGCTGTGCTCTTCTCGGGCCACTGCCCTGTGGGAAGAACTTTCCACGGAGACCCTCGCTCGGCCTCTGACCAGCCATGAGTGTCGCTTCCGGTTGGGCGTCTACTCGGCAGTCAGCTGAGCCCAAGGGGGCATCCTTAGGGCCTGGTCTCTGTGTAACTGAATGCTGCGGGGGGGGGGGGTCCCTAGATCAGGGCTGGGGACCCTGTTTTCTGCCAAGGCCATTTGGATATTTATAGCATCGTTTGTGGGCCATGCAAAATTATCAACTGAAAAATTAGCCTGCTAGCTTTGGTCAACATTGAATTATCTCACCCCTCATGCCTTGGCAGGGCCAGACCACGTGATTTCAGGGTCTACAGGGCCCGCGGGCCGGACGTTCCCCACCCCTGCCCTGGAATGATCTGTGGGCAGCAACACCCCGAAGGTGGGGAGGGAGCGAATGAGTAATGGTCTGAGGCCAGGCCTGGGAAGACCCGCTTGGCATCAGGTGACCGTGGCCTTTCACACGACAATGAACCAGAAGTTCTATCATATTCCGTGTCTGAGACCCATGCTGCCGGACGCTGCTCCATTTTTAAAGGTCTCGTGCATGGCAATGTGGGGGGCGACTCCAGGTTGGTGCCACCTTCTATTCAGTCCTTATCACGTGCCAGGTACTGTGCTGGCGGCAGGCACACTGCATGACATCATTGTGCAGAGGACACTCCAATTCCAGACCACCAGGCCCTGTCCGAGGTCATGCGACCTCTGGGCTCGCTCCTCTGAGGTGGCCTGAAAGCACATCAGGTTTAGTTAGACGGCAAGTAACAGAAGCTCCCGACACCCCAGCTTCGACCAATGAGGGGTGTTCGTTCCCACATTAAGAAGACCAGTGGGAGCCCAGCCGGCGTGGCTCAGGGGTTGAGTGTCAACCTGTGAATCAGGAGGTCACGGTTCCATTCCCGGTCAGGGCACAGGCCCGGGCTGCAGGCTCGATCCCCAGTGTGGGGCGTGCAGGAGGCAGCCGGTCAGTGATTCTCTCATCATTGATGTTTCTGTCTCCCTCTCCCTCTCCCTTCCTCTCTGAAAGCAATAAAAATATACATATATAATAATAAAAAGGCCAAAAGGCCAGCAGCGAGCCGCCCAGGACCGGATGGCAGCCCCACACTCCCTCTAGAACCGCGTTCCCTCTGGCTTTCCGCACCCCGACCCCACGCTGTGGCCTTCGCACTCCTGGTCCCCTCACCGTCACAGGTGGCAGCTCTGCCTCCAGCACGGAGCCCGCATTCCAGGCCGAGGACAGAGGATGAAGGTGCCAGTTTATTCCTCGAACTCCACCTTATTTTCTCTGTCCCCTTTCCAAGAGATTTCGGGGAAGCCCTGCCCCACACCCTGGCGCCACCTCTAGCTAAACTAGAGAATGTTAGCTGGGTCCATGGCCTCCCTGAGAAACACGCTGTTCGGCCTCAGAGCCTCCGTCGCCCCCTAAACCCTAACAACCACTGATGCTTTCAGTGCCTCCATAGGTTTGCCTTTTCCCGGAGGTCACACAGTCAGCATCACACCCTCCGCAGCCTTCCCACGTTGGTTTCTGTCGCGTAGAAACATGCCCTGAAGATTCCTCCATGGCTTTTTAGGGCTGGATACCCATTTCTTTGTCCCGTGGAGCGGTCCCCCCAGCTCTGGGCGGACCATCGCCTGCTGGAGGACAGCGCTGCCCCGTGCTGGGCAGCGACGAAGACAGCGCTGCGACCCGCGGGCAGGCTTCTGTATGGACGTCAGTTCTCGGCGCCTTCGGGTACCTGCCGAGGAGGGCGGCAGCCGCCCGGGGGATGAGAGGACATTTCCTGCTCCAAGGAGCGGCCACGTGACTTCCAAGAGGCTGCTCCGTCCCGCATCCCCGCCCAAGATGGCCCAGGCCTCCTGCGGCTCCGCATCCTCGCCAGCACCTGGTGCTGGCCGCGTCCTGAATGTCAGCTTAATCCTCCGGCAGGTCTTTAATGCGTTCACCCAGTACACGGCTGACGTCGCACACAAGACAGTCGGTCTCTGAGGAGTGCAGAGGTCGCAATCCCTGCAGGTGAGGTTGCAGGCGGAAAGTTTTGGGACGCCCGCATCCCTGTGAGCGATGGTCGGGAACTTGACCAGCCTCTGACTCACCGGAGACAGTGCTGCAGCGGGCGGGGAGGGAGGCAGGGCGCGCCTCGCCTGCCGCCTGCCTCGGGGTGTCTGATTCAGAAGGTCTGGGATGGGGCCCAAGAATTTGCATTTCTAAGAAGTTTCCTGCCTCCGGGCTGCTACTGCAGCGGCTCAGGGGCCACACCTGGAGAATCACTGTTCCAGATGCTTCTCGGTAAAGGAAAAACGCCAAATGGGGCTGCCACACCCTCCCTCCGATGCAGGAGACATCACCACCACCTCCACGTAAGGCTCCATCTGGAGGCCCCTGGGTACCCGAACCCAAGGGAGAGTGGGGGGGGGGGGTGTCACAGCTCCCGAGGAGGCTGTGCGGCTGCAGGGCCGTTTGTGTTCGGGGGGCGGGGGTGGGGGGGGTGTCACTGCTGTCCGCCGGAACAGACTTTGCGGAGTGAACCAGATCATTTTAACAGCGGTTCTCAACCTTCTGGCCCTTTAAACACAGTTCCTCATGTTGTGGCCCAACCATAAAATCATTTTCGTTGCTACTTCATAACTGTCATGTTGCTACTGTTCTGAATCGTAATGTAAATATCTGATATGCAGGATGGTCTTAGGCGGCCCCTGTGAAAAGGTCGTTCAACCGCCAAAGGGGTCGTGACCCACAGGTTGAGAACCGCTGGTTAAAATGTAAAAGTTTAAAAAGCTCACTTTGTCCTAAAATAAGCCATCTAGATCCACTCCAAAGTCCCTGAAATGGACCCGTGTTCCACTGGACCCCGAGCGGCATTGGCCGCCTGTCAGTGTGGGTCCCGGGACAGCGCACACGCCAGAGCGGCGATCTCGGGGGACCAGGCCCCTCGGGCTCGGCGACCGCGGGTGCCTGGGTCCGCGCACGAACACGCAAGTCCACGCGCATCCGCGTGTCAGAGCCTGAACAGGAAGTCCGGCCCAGCTGCTTCTTTATCACTTAGAAGCTGTTTGCTTCAGAAAAATGAGAAATTCAACAAGAGCGTTTTGTTGCTTTTCTTTAGCGTTTATCAGCGTGCTGCAATCGCACAGACTGAAGGCCAAATTCTTCCCAGAAGACGCACAGCACCGACTCCGTGTTGTTCTAGGGCCGATGAGGGGCCGGAAGTGCAAAAGGACAAGACGCACAGATCCATCAGCAGCATCAGAACGTGAAGGAGGCCCTGCGTCCTGTGGTGCAGACTTTCCCTGAAACAGACTCGCAATTACACAACCTCACACGGGAATCAACGGCAAGGAGCGCCTCCCTCTCCACTCCACAGGTGTGTGAGGGCCTGGAAACAGGGGGGGGTTCTCACAGCACGCGCCCACACCCTCGGGCGGGTCAGGGTTGCCCGGGAGGCAGACGCAACACAGATTCCTGGCTCTGGCTCCCACATATGTGGGAGGTGATTAGGAGCCCAAACATTTGCAATTGAAACAGGTGCCCTTGCCTGGCCGATGTGGCTCAGTGGTTGAGCATCGACCTTTGAACCAGGAGATCACGGTTTGATTCCCAGTCGGGGCACATGCCCAGGTTTCAGGCTCGATCCCCAGTAGGGGGGGGGGGGTGCAAGAGGCAGCTGATCAATGATTCTCTCTCATCACTGATGTTTTGATCTCTCTCTCCCTCTCCCTTCCTCTCCGAAATCAATAAAAAATATAATTTTTTTAAAAGAAAGAAAAGCCCTGACCGGTTTTGCTCACTGGATAGAGTGTCGGCCTGCGGACTGAAGGGTCCCAGGTTCGATTCCGGCCAAGGGCATGTACCTGGGTTGTGAGCACATCCCCAGTAGGGAGCGTGCAGGAGGCAGCTGAATCAATGTTTCTCTCTCATTGATGTTTCTAACTATCTCTCTCCCTTCCTCTCTGTAAAAAATCAATAAAATTTATTTTAAAAAAATAAAAAAGAAAGAAAGAAAGAGAAACAGGTGCCCTGATTTCGATGCAGGTGGGGTGTTCCCAGACTGTGTAGAAGGAGACACTGCTCAGAAGACACAACCCCAGCCCTTGAACGTGGTAGATTTTTCCTTAAAGACAACTTCATTTTTTACTTTACCGGTTGCACCCGGTTGGGTGAGCCTGCTTGAGGCAGGTAGCAGGGGGCTGGGACAGA